TGTTGACTTCATAATGCGCTCGCTTGTAAATAGTAAATTCTCGTTGACCTGTTCAGCTCTAACTCTACCAAGTCTTGGTCACCTCTTGCCTACAACGCGTGTTAAATACAATGTGCTCCGAGACTTTGCTGACCTGGAATTGGCAGACCCACAATATAACAATCCAGGCTCTATCGACTTAATCCTGGGGGGCAGATGTATATAGTGTGTTGCTGATACCAGAGATCAAACAATTGCCCGGAGGCTCCGCCATCGCGCAAAGAACCCATTTAGGATGGGTAATATTTGGAAAGGTGCCGGACCAAATAATCCCACTGGAGCGAACGACGTTCTGCGCTGCCACCTCCGTGGAGCTCAACGAGTTGGTTAAGCTAATGTGGCAATTCAACAAGCAAGATGATCTTTCAACGTCGGCTCCAATGAGTCAAGATGAGGCTGAATGTGAGTCCTTTTTTTGAGAGCACGGTTAAGCGCACCAGTTGCGGTCGTTACATCGTAAAATATCCTTTAAAAGATGGAGTCGATTTAAATAAACTAAAGAATTCCAAGGGGGACGCGTCCAGGTTATTTAATTATCAACAAAAAACGCTTAGAAAAGGATTCGACGTTGAAACAACTTTATGAATCGTTTATGGATGAGTACCTCCGCCTCGAGCACATGGAGCCCGTCTCCGAACACTGTGACCCGCAACAATTTTGCTACATACCCCATCATGGGGTTTACAAAGAATCTAGTTCTACTACGAAGTTAAGAATCGTTTTCAATGCGTCGTATCGGAATAAGTCAGGAGTATCGTTGAATGATTGCTTGCATGTAGGCCCTAAACTACAAAATGACCTGGCGTCGGTTATCCTGAAGTGGCGAACTTACCGCATAGGGTTTATGGCAGACATTGAGAAGTGTTATCGCCAAATATTGGTTGACCCTGAGGACACTGACTTGCAGCGAATTGTATGGTTAAACGAGATGGGAGATCCGACGGTTTATCGTCTACGTACAGTGACTTATGGCCTAAACTGTTCGCCGTATCTTACAATAAAAGTTCTTCATTCGTTGGCCAAAGATGAAGGTGATTCTTTCCCACAGGCAGCCCAGGTACTAAAGCATTCCTTTTACATGGACGATTGTCTGCATGGCGCGGATGACTCTCAAAGTGCGATACGTCTTCAAAAGGAACTACAGCTCCTGTTGGAAAGAGGAGGGTTCACTCTGCGGAAGTGGAACTCGAACTCAATAGATTTCCTGCATAGCATCGAAGGTGAACAAATTGATGACGAACATAGATGTAACTTTGATCAACATCAGGAAGTGAAAGCATTGGGTCTTTATTGGATCGCCTCGTCCGATGAGTTCATCTACAAGGTCAATATGACTGAGCTCTCTGGTCCTATTACCAAGCGTCAACAACTCGCGGATGTTGCTAAGATATATGACTCTCCTGGCTGGGTCGCACCTATTGTTATAACAGGTAAAATAATCTGCCAACAATTGTGGGTCACTGGCTGCAACTGGGACGATGTCATTCCAGAACCTTATCAGACGCAGTGGAGAAATTTTCGAAACGAGATACGAGAAGTAGAAGCCATTAAAGTGCCAAGATGGGTGCATACTGCGCCAAACGCTATTTCGTATCAACTCCACGTTTTCGCGGATGCATCAGCGGTTGCTTATGCGGCGATAACCTATCTCCGCGTCATTGCTGCTGACGAATCAGTGAAGGTGTCGATATTAACGGCCAAAACCAAGGTGGCTCCGCTGAAAAAAAATAACCATACCTTGTCTGGAGTTAAATGGGGCATTGTTGGCTGCGAAGCTTGCTCATAAAGTGCAGGATTCTCTTAACCACCTGTCAATGCAAACCTTTTTTTTGGTCTGATTCGACCACGGCCCTTAGCTGGATTCGTTCAAATCCGGGAATACATAAGCAATACATCGCAAACCGAGTAAAACAAATTCAACAACTATCCAGCAGCGACCGATGGAGATATGTACCAACGAAGCTAAATCCGGCCGATGTTGCTTCCCGGGGTATATCACCTTCTAAGTGGTCCACATTGGAAACTTGGTGGATGGGACCTAACTGGCTTTACCAAGACGAGCAGCAGTGGCCGATTCAACCCGCAAACCACAATCCTGTTCCCGAGCAGAAACCAATATGCTATACTACCACATTCAAGGAGGAGCCACCATTTTGTGATGTATTCTTGCTCAAGTATTCGCACATTAACACCCTTCTTGCGGTCACAGCGTGGTGCCATCGTTTTATTGATGTTATTATGAAGAGACCGCACGAAAGAACATCCTGGTGCACAAGCCAGGAAAGAAACAAGGCCATGAAGTTTTGGATAAGGTACGTACAACGTATTAGTTTTTTCTAATGAAATTTCGTCCCTACTTAAAGGAGAACCGATACATGTGAAAAGCACACTTTGTCAACTTAATCCCATGCTCGACGAAGAGAAAATACTGCGAGCCAATGGGCGACTAAAACACTCATTTTTATCGTTCGAAGAGAAATTCCCAATTATACTTCCGAAGGAAACCCATTCTGTCGGCTGATTCTAGCTCAGCCGCATGAGTCCACCCTGCATGGCGGAACACAAGCGACGCTTAATCACATACGACGACGATATTGGATTATTGGTGCTCGCCCCGCTATTAAAAAAACTAATTCGCAACTGCGTGCGGTGCTTTCGACAGCGACCCAGCCGAACGAACCAACTTATGGGTAGCTTGCCGGAGCACCGCTCTACACCAGCCAACGCATTCAGCAGATGTGGTATAGATTATGGCGGTCCTTATGGGATTCGTACTACCAAAGGCAGAGGTCACCACCGCTATAAAGGTTATGTTGCACTTTTCGTGTAGCTATTCCGGAAATCACCACATTTCCTCGTCAGACTTCTTTCAGTAGGCTTCGAACCGATGATCCCACTGACTCAGCCAGTTACCTATGCACTGTGCTAAGCTCGCCTTCTAAATTATCGTTGCTTTTTTCCCCTTTTTCATTTTGTTATGCCAACACAATTAAGCGCAGCTTTTCCGCTGCAATTCACTTGATCATGTGGTTGTTGGTTTTGTTGGTTTTTGCTAATAATTCAATTTTTAGAATGTTTAAATTTTAGGTATGCTCGTCCTTAAGTTATTGGTTTTTGCTATATTTTGGCCTTATAAGAATGATTTTCAACAATTTTTAATGAGCTTGAGGCCATTATTAATGAAAAACTTATTGAGGAAACGGAACAATAATGTGAAAAATTTGTAGAAGTGATAGTGTTAGAATGTAACCCTGCTTATGCTACATGAAAGCACAGCAACCCAGTCCTGCGCCGTTGTACCATACAGAAAGCTAAATTTTGCGAAACCGTACGACTGACACAAACCACCGGGCTGTCATTTCAATACAGTTTGTCTATTCTTTTTTTCTTTCATCAACATCTAGAAAAGTAAGTCGTTTTTCTGCAGCAAGCTAAGATTTAAAATAAAGAATGAACTAACGGATATTAAAAGGACAGTTTTGAGGGCGTTTCATTTTTCATTAACAACTTTAACATTTTGGCATCCCTTGCGGGGAACCGTCCCAATATTGTACGAAATCTCAACTGCTTGTACCGGGTTTGCGATCAGTGAGCTGCACCCAGGTTTTTGCTAAAACGCCACGTGAGAAGAACGTGGATAACCTCAACAAGCGAACTAAGTGAAATTGCACCAGCATGGAAGGAGAGAAAGAAGAGAACCTGGCGAAGCTCATTATTAACTTCTCGGCAAATACACGAAAAACCGCCAAGCAGAAACAAACACGGGGCTATTTGATTGCGCGTAAACGACTCCTAGATGATTATTGGGCCAAATTTATCGCGGCACACGAGGAAGCTTTGCAATTAGCCATAGCAGCGAAGGACACCGCGTCTAAGACACAGTTGGACGATAGCCGTTTCGCAGAAATCGAAGGCGCCTATTGTGAGGCACTAGGGGAGTTGGAAGACGCACTCCATAATCAGTTACCAAGCCCATCTGGGACGGCGGAAAGCGTATCCACAAAGACGACAACAAAGGTGCCGAAAATCGAGCTGCCAAAGTTCGACGGAACTTTTGCAACATGGTTATCTTTCAAGGACATGTTCTCCACGTGTGTTATCAATGACGTGACCTTATCTGATGTCCAGCGATTGCATTATTTGAAAGGCTGCCTATCGGGAGACGCCGAAGTGCTCCTGCGAAATTTGCTAGTTATTGACAGCAATTTCAAGGTTGCTTGGGATATACTTCAGCAAAGGTTCGATAACAAAAGACGACTTCTGCGCGCCTATTTGCACAACATCGTAAAACTGCCTAGCGCATCAGCTGAATGCTCAACAGCAATACGGAAACTTATGGACGGGGTCATAGAGTCCGAGCGTGCACTGACGCAGCTTGGTAGACCCACGGAGAAGTTTGACGATTGGCTGGTGTATCTGATCACCGAAAAGCTAGATACAGAAACTCTTAAACAATGGGAGTTGTCCCTAGACTCGGCCAACCACATCCCAACATATAAGGAATTAGTACAGTTCTTGGAGAAGCGCATTGTGGGTTTGGAAGCAGCTTCAAATCAGAAGACAAAAGACAACGGTCCTAAGCCGGTGCGCCATCAATCCATCCGCTGCCATCAAGCCAACTATCTACCATACCCCTGCTGTGCAGGAAAGCATATACTGATGTTCTGCTCAGAATTTAAGGCCCAATCTCCAACGCATAGATTACAAACAGTTATGGCAAAGGGTCTATGCAAGAATTGCCTGAAGAGCGATCACATGCAAAACAGATGTCCGTCGTCATTCTCATGCAAGCGATGTAACTCAAAGCACCACACGATGCTGCATGATAGTGTCCAACCGAGAACAGTCGACTCGGTTGCGTCAAATCACGTGCGTGCCACTACACCCATTACTTATACATTAACACAAAAGCGGTCACGATCTTCAACACTACTTGCCACCGCCCAAGTAAGTGTTGTCTCGCCTTCTGGTCGCGCGTTCACACTCAGAGCTCTTCTTGGTAGCGGCTCCCAAGCCACATTCATCAGCGAATTCGCTGCTCAGAAATTGAGACTCCCGCGGCTTCGCATTCGAGTACCTGTTACTGGAGTCGGGGGAGCACAGGTTGGCAAATCCACCGGGACTGTTGACTTCATAATGCGCTCGCTTGTAAATAGTAAATTCTCGTTGACCTGTTCAGCTCTAACTCTACCAAGTCTTGGTCACCTCTTGCCTACAACGCGTGTTAAATACAATGTGCTCCGAGACTTTGCTGACCTGGAATTGGCAGACCCACAATATAACAATCCAGGCTCTATCGACTTAATCCTGGGGGCAGATGTATATAGTGTGTTGCTGATACCAGAGATCAAACAATTGCCCGGAGGCTCCGCCATCGCGCAAAGAACCCATTTAGGATGGGTAATATTTGGAAAGGTGCCGGACCAAATAATCCCACTGGAGCGAACGACGTTCTGCGCTGCCACCTCCGTGGAGCTCAACGAGTTGGTTAAGCTAATGTGGCAATTCAACAAGCAAGATGATCTTTCAACGTCGGCTCCAATGAGTCAAGATGAGGCTGAATGTGAGTCCTTTTTTGAGAGCACGGTTAAGCGCACCAGTTGCGGTCGTTACATCGTAAAATATCCTTTAAAAGATGGAGTCGATTTAAATAAACTAAAGAATTCCAAGGGGGACGCGTCCAGGTTATTTAATTATCAACAAAAACGCTTAGAAAAGGATTCGACGTTGAAACAACTTTATGAATCGTTTATGGATGAGTACCTCCGCCTCGAGCACATGGAGCCCGTCTCCGAACACTGTGACCCGCAACAATTTTGCTACATACCCCATCATGGGGTTTACAAAGAATCTAGTTCTACTACGAAGTTAAGAATCGTTTTCAATGCGTCGTATCGGAATAAGTCAGGAGTATCGTTGAATGATTGCTTGCATGTAGGCCCTAAACTACAAAATGACCTGGCGTCGGTTATCCTGAAGTGGCGAACTTACCGCATAGGGTTTATGGCAGACATTGAGAAGTGTTATCGCCAAATATTGGTTGACCCTGAGGACACTGACTTGCAGCGAATTGTATGGTTAAACGAGATGGGAGATCCGACGGTTTATCGTCTACGTACAGTGACTTATGGCCTAAACTGTTCGCCGTATCTTACAATAAAAGTTCTTCATTCGTTGGCCAAAGATGAAGGTGATTCTTTCCCACAGGCAGCCCAGGTACTAAAGCATTCCTTTTACATGGACGATTGTCTGCATGGCGCGGATGACTCTCAAAGTGCGATACGTCTTCAAAAGGAACTACAGCTCCTGTTGGAAAGAGGAGGGTTCACTCTGCGGAAGTGGAACTCGAACTCAATAGATTTCCTGCATAGCATCGAAGGTGAACAAATTGATGACGAACATAGATGTAACTTTGATCAACATCAGGAAGTGAAAGCATTGGGTCTTTATTGGATCGCCTCGTCCGATGAGTTCATCTACAAGGTCAATATGACTGAGCTCTCTGGTCCTATTACCAAGCGTCAACAACTCGCGGATGTTGCTAAGATATATGACTCTCCTGGCTGGGTCGCACCTATTGTTATAACAGGTAAAATAATCTGCCAACAATTGTGGGTCACTGGCTGCAACTGGGACGATGTCATTCCAGAACCTTATCAGACGCAGTGGAGAAATTTTCGAAACGAGATACGAGAAGTAGAAGCCATTAAAGTGCCAAGATGGGTGCATACTGCGCCAAACGCTATTTCGTATCAACTCCACGTTTTCGCGGATGCATCAGCGGTTGCTTATGCGGCGATAACCTATCTCCGCGTCATTGCTGCTGACGAATCAGTGAAGGTGTCGATATTAACGGCCAAAACCAAGGTGGCTCCGCTGAAAAAAATAACCATACCTTGTCTGGAGTTAAATGGGGCATTGTTGGCTGCGAAGCTTGCTCATAAAGTGCAGGATTCTCTTAACCACCTGTCAATGCAAACCTTTTTTTTGGTCTGATTCGACCACGGCCTTAGCTGGATTCGTTCAAATCCGGGAATACATAAGCAATACATCGCAAACCGAGTAAAACAAATTCAACAACTATCCAGCAGCGACCGATGGAGATATGTACCAACGAAGCTAAATCCGGCCGATGTTGCTTCCCGGGGTATATCACCTTCTAAGTGGTCCACATTGGAAACTTGGTGGATGGGACCTAACTGGCTTTACCAAGACGAGCAGCAGTGGCCGATTCAACCCGCAAACCACAATCCTGTTCCCGAGCAGAAACCAATATGCTATACTACCACATTCAAGGAGGAGCCACCATTTTGCGATGTATTCTTGCTCAAGTATTCGCACATTAACACCCTTCTTGCGGTCACAGCGTGGTGCCATCGTTTTATTGATGTTATTATGAAGAGACCGCACGAAAGAACATCCTGGTGCACAAGCCAGGAAAGAAACAAGGCCATGAAGTTTTGGATAAGGTACGTACAACGTATTAGTTTTTCTAATGAAATTTCGTCCCTACTTAAAGGAGAACCGATACATGTGAAAAGCACACTTTGTCAACTTAATCCCATGCTCGACGAAGAGAAAATACTGCGAGCCAATGGGCGACTAAAACACTCATTTTTATCGTTCGAAGAGAAATTCCCAATTATACTTCCGAAGGAAACCCATTCTGTCGGCTGATTCTAGCTCAGCCGCATGAGTCCACCCTGCATGGCGGAACACAAGCGACGCTTAATCACATACGACGACGATATTGGATTATTGGTGCTCGCCCCGCTATTAAAAAACTAATTCGCAACTGCGTGCGGTGCTTTCGACAGCGACCCAGCCGAACGAACCAACTTATGGGTAGCTTGCCGGAGCACCGCTCTACACCAGCCAACGCATTCAGCAGATGTGGTATAGATTATGGCGGTCCTTATGGGATTCGTACTACCAAAGGCAGAGGTCACCACCGCTATAAAGGTTATGTTGCACTTTTCGTGTGTTTTAGCACCCGAGCTATTCATCTAGAGCTGGTGAGCAATATGAGTACGGAGGCCTTTCTTGCGGCGCTACGTCGGTTTTTCTCGCAACGGGGCTATAGTAGCGATATCTATAGCGATTGTGCCACAACATTTGTCGGGGCCAATGCAGTATTGAACGCTGATGTAGAGGCGTATAATAAGCAGATGAAGGCTGCTGGGAAATTCTGTGCTACGCAGGGCGTTACCTGGCATTTCATACTTCCTGGCTCGCCGAACTTCGGTGGCCTCTGGGAGGCAGGCATCAAGTATTGGAGATGCAGCATTAACATTCGAAGAATTTTACACCGTTCTCAAGCAAGTGGAAGGGGTGCTTAATTCAAGACCGATTTCGGCGTTAAGTGATGATCCTACCGACTTAACTGCGGTGACACCTGGACACTTCTTGATAGGTAAAGCACTTATTGCCAGTCCAGAACCGAATCTTTTAGAAACCAACATCAATCGACTATCGAGGTGGAAACAGCTGCAGCAGATGCAACAAGATTTTTGGACACGTTGGAGCGCAGAGTACTTGGTGGGGTTGCAAGTCCGACATAAATGGCAGTACCAAACTAAAAACATCAAGGTGGGCGATTTGGTGCTAGTTCGAGACGAGAGGACCGCACCCATGAATTGGCCCCTTGGGCGCATCCTGGAAGTCCATACTGGAGCAGATGGTCTCGTAAGAGTAGCTACTATACGCACGCAAGTCTCCACAATAAAACGAGCAATTTCGAAGCTTGCTGTCTTACCACTGGATACAACCATTGAACCTGGACATGGTGGGCGGACTTTAGACACGGTGGGCGGCAAAGTGGCATATAGTTCGTCAGAAGTTGACGAGGTGGGCGGAAAATGTTAGAATGTAACCCTGCTTATGCTACATGAAAGCACAGCAACCCAGTCCTGCGCCGTTGTACCATACAGAAAGCTAAATTTTGCGAAACCGTACGACTGACACAAACCACCGGGCTATCATTTCAATACAGTTTGTCTATTCTTTTTTTCTTTCATCAACATCTAGAAAAGTAAGTCGGTTTTCTGCAGCAAGCTAAGATTTAAAATAAAGAATGAACTAACGCATATTAAAAGGACAGTTTTGAGGGCGTTTCATTTTTCATTAACAACCTTAACAGATAGCTATTTCGGAAATCACCACATTTCCTCAGACTTCTTTCAGTAGGCTTCGAACCGACGATCCCACTGACTCAGCCAGTGGCCTATGCACTGTGCTAATCTCGCTTTGTAAATTATCGTTGCTTTTTTTCCACTTCTTTATTTTGTTATGCCAACACAATCAAGCGCAGCTATTCCGCTGCAATTCCCTTGATCATGTGGTTGTTGGTTTTGTTGGTTTTTGCTAATAATTCAATTTTTAGAATGTTTAACTTTTAGGTGTGCTCGTCCTTAAGTTATTTGTTTTTGCTATTTTTTGGCCTTTTAAAAATTATTTTCAACAATTTTTAATGAGCTTGAGGCCATTATTAATGAAAAACTTATTGAGGAAACGGAACAATAATGTGAAAAAATTGTAGAAGTGATAGCTATTTCGGAAATCACCACATTTCCTCAGACTTCTTTCAGTAGGCTTCGAACCGACGATCCCACTGACTCAGCCAGTTGCCTATGCATTGTGCTAACCTCGCCATCGTTGCTTTTTT